AGCAGTGAGGCCGAAATCATTTCGCGTTTCCACTGTCGGGCTAGTAGCTTGCAGAGTGTCACCCAAACCCCGCCCCCAGAACGTCCGCCGAATCAAACGTCACACAACCCGCCCACTTCAGGGGGAATAAGGCAGATAAAGCACAGCATTACATTATCACGAAACTATAAAAATTAGGACAACCGAAACAAACAAATGACACGTTATTTTACAGCATTATATTGTATGTCTATACGCACATGCCTGTGTGTTCTCATTCATCATATTTATTTACTCGCCGACCGACTGTTGGCATCGAAATCCAGTGGTCTCGCCACTAACAGAGGGACCCAGCGCAGTGAGTGCACACATCCATAATATAAAACCACATATATAAAATTCTCTAATAACTCAATATAAAATGTAGTTTATAACATCCTCAGTTAGACAGACGCTGTCCAACATTCATCCCAAATGCTCCGGAGAGAACTGAAACATGAACATTTCCCTATAGGCTTTATCCCACTTAATAGGTGATTCCCTTTATTTAAAGATGTTGCTTACTATATCTTAAGTAAAGGAACGTGTTCAGTGTTTTAGCATATATAGTCTATTTTATGGTCTATATTTCATTGCTTGCAGCTATGCACTAATAAAGCTCTTCATGTTTTTAAAATTTCCTTTTTTTAATTTACCACGTCATATAAAAACATACACACTTGTTTGAGGACAAAGAGCACATTTTGAATTTGCAGTTTCCCCCGATGTGTCTGTATTAAAGCGGCGCTGCGCAGCTGGAGAACTGAAAAAAAGGTAGCCTAGTTTCTGCTTTTACTGACCCCAAAAATGCTCTGTTTGCATGATTTGATTAATATCATCATATCCAAATACTTTATAAATAATAATAATGAAAAATCAAGGAGGATGCAGCAAAGTCACTTATAAATTAAAACTACTTCATTATTTTATTCAACAGCCTTACATTTAAAAGGGAAACATAAGGGCGATCATAGGCAAAAAGACCCCAGCCTATAAGGCTAGATGATTTATTTCCTTTATTTATTTATTTATTTATTTATTTATTTGTTTAGCACATACTCGTTGGCGATCGAAAACTGTACCCGCCTCTTCTTTCACTCCGCCCCGAAGCCCCAGTTGCCCCTCTTTGGCCCAAGGTATTCGGTGGGCCGAAAAAGGCCAGCTGCTGGCCCCAAGAAAGCCCCACTTTGGCTCGATTAGGCCCCAGAAGTGACAGTGGAAATGCAACTGGCCTTGGCTCGCCCTAGCTTGCTCTCTTTAGGCACGATAGTGGAAACGCGGCTAATCTTTCTGATAACATTGCATTCAAATAACATTCAAAGCCATCTGGAAACCCTTTTTTATTTGTTTGTCAAATGCTTAGAATAACAGTTTAAAGGTATAACCCTGTTATCGTCTGCAAGATCACCATATTGCCTGCGGCCACTGGCCTAGATATATATGTGTAACATTGTTGACCCATGTATAATATTAGAGGAACAGATGTAATAATGGTAATAAAATCTTCTTTTTTTCTGTCTTATTTCCTTTTATTATTATTATTATATTTTTCTGTTTTGTCTTTATAATTGGTGTTGCCTTTTGTATTGCTCTGTGTTGCTTTAAGAAAATAAAAATATACTATTTAAAAAAAACATATAGAAGTAAGTAGTGAATGCTAATATTCAAACTGACAAGTGTATGTTATTACTATATACAAGGTTATATGTGCAGCTGTTATGTGCAAATTAAGATGTAATTAACAAGTGTGATGTCAAATGAGTGTATATGTGAATAAAAAGCGTATAGCAAGTAGTAATGTATGTTCCACAATTACTATCATCAAGTGTTCATGGGATGGAAAAAACAGTCCGAACTATTCGTAGTCTTTGGAGGTCGGATTTGGTAGCTGAGCTAAACCACACTGTTATTCATGTGCAGATGACTGATTCAATAATGGAGGTGTAGAACAGTTTTAGCAGCTCCTTTGGAAGGTTGAACTTCCTCAGCTGATGAAGAAAGTACAGCCTCTGTTGAGCTTTTTTTGACAGTGGAGTCAATGTGAGTGTCCCTCTTGAGGTCCTGAGACATGGTGATGCCCAGGAACCTGAATGACTCCACTGCTGCCACAATGCTGTCCATGATGGTTTCCCTTTAAGTCCGCTATCATCTCCACTGTTTTGAGCATGTTGAGCTCCAGGTTGTTGTGACTGCACCAGACAGCCAACTCCTTAACCTCCTGTCTGTAAGCAGACTCATCACCGTCCTGAATGAGGCCGAAAAGTGTGGTGTCGTCTGCAAACTTCAGAAGCTTGACAGAGGAGTCCTTTGAAGTGCAGTCATTTGTGTACAGAGAGAAGAGCAGTGGGGAGAGGACACACCCCTTGGGGGTGCCAGTGCTGATTGTGCAGGTACTTAAATACACACCAGAGGCCTCATAAGTCAGAGAATTTCTGAAATGTTTAAAATTTCTTAGATTGAATCTTATTGGGCCAGGCAGTGGCGCAGTAGGTAGTGCTGTCGCCTCACAGCAAGAAGGTCGCTGGGTCGCTGGTTCGAACCTCGGCTTGGCTCAGTTGGCATTTCTGTGTGGAGTTTGCATTTTCTCCCTGCCTTCGCGTGGGTTATCTCCGGGTGCTCCAGTTTCTCCCACAGTCCAAAGACATGTGGTACAGGTGAATTCGATAGGCTAAACTGTCTGTAGTGTATGAGTGTGTGTGTGGATGTTTACCAGAGATGGGTGGGCTGGAAGGGCATCCACTGCGTATAAATGTGCTGGATAAGTTGGCGGCTCATTCCGCTATGACGACCCAGGATTAATAAAGGGACTAAGCCGACAAGAAAATGATTGAATGAATGAATCTCAGTGTGGTAGCAAGTTAAAATTAAGCATTGAGTCCAACATGATATGATGCCCTTCAGGTGGGCCAGCACCAGTTTTTCTGAACTTCATGTCCACAGATGTAAACGCCACTGGTCTGTAGTCATTTAGTCCTGTAAGTTTGGGTTTCTTGGGGATGGGGACGATGGTGGAGCGTTTGAGGCAGGAGGGCACTTCACACAGCTCCAGTGATCTGTTGAAGATGAGAGTGAAGATGGGGGCCAGCTGGTCAGCACAGGATTTTAAACAGGTTGGTGTTATAAAATCTGGGCCTGGTGATTTTTTCCTCTTCTGTTTCCGGAAGACCTGGCGCACATCATCTTTACTGAACTGACGTGCAGGTATGGGGGGGTGGAGTTGTTAATGATGTGAAGAGCAGTTCAAGGGGGGTGGGGGGGGGGTTCTCAAACCGGCAGTAAAACTCATTCAGATCGTTTGCAAGTCATTCATTGTCTACAGTGCTGGGGGATGGTGTCCTGTAGTTGTTTTTTAAACTTTTCACACGGATGCTGAGTCGCTGGAAGAGAACTGACTCCTTAGTTTCTCAGAATAGTTCCTTTTTGCGACTCTGATCTCCTTTTCCAGTGTGTATTTGGCCTGCTTACACAAGGCCTTCTCCCCATTCCTGTAAGCAACCTCCTTATCCTGACGTAGCTGTCTGAGTTTTACAGTGAACCATGGTTTGTCATTGTTGTATGTGAGTTGAGTCCTGGTAGAAATGCACACGTCTTCACAGAAACAATGCTCAAAATAATCGATTAACCGTTAACCAAAAGGGTGCATTGTAATGGTATCAGTTAAACAATTAAAATTTTTAATTTATATAATTTTAGTTTGGCTGCATTTGGGGCCAATCGAATGTACTTTTTTGCGTTAAGAGGGGCATCTTTTGAATGGTTTACTAAAAGCCGCAAGTGTTTTGCACGCGGCTGATTCCAAAGCTGCAGTGTTTGTGTTGTCAAGACAACTACAGAAAACTTTTAAAGTGCATGGTTCCCGCAACATTCATTCTTCTGTGGTCTGGTTACACCAAAATGCATACTGGCTATATTACAGCTTCTCTTTCAAAACATTTAGTCATTGTTGTTTTTTTTTTATAATAGCGGATTATAATTGCACCAAAATGTATTAAAAGGTAAGTGAATTATAACAGCGAAAACTTTTCTGTAACTGTAGTAGTAGTATCTGTTCAACCCTTTGAGGTACCTGTTGACAGGATGACTGACAGGTGCATGATGCGTGAAGCCAGCAAACACGACATAGCTTTCTGTTATGATCAACACAGTTTCCATAATTTTAATTTATTTATAGATAAAGGTCTGGGGCGAGGCAGTGGTCTCACATCAAGAAGGTCACTAGGTCGCTGGTTCAAACCTCGGCTCAGTTGGCGTTTCTGTGTGAAGTTTGCATGTTCTCCCTGTCTGCGTCATTAACACAACAATAGGCTTTACCTTTCATTTTTCAGGTTTTAAAGCCTGTATGCAAATTAACCGTGAGTAAGAGAGTAAACCATATAGCAAGACATAATCTTTAAAATAATTATTTATATTAAAATGTAAAAAGGTTTTGTGATGTAATATTAACAGCAGGGCAATAAATAAATGCATATTTTCCATGGAGCAAGCGATTTTAGAAAGTCTACAATTTTTATTTGACGGAAGAAAAAAAAAACATAATTTGGAAAAAAAAACAGCCTTTGCCTGTTCTTAAAAAAGGATTCAGTCAGTGTTTTCATTTTGTAATTTAAATTAACCATTTAAGTGAAAAATAATTTAGGGCAGACCTATTTATTTTATTCATTTTATTTATTTTATTCTGTTTTTCTATGCTATTGGAAACACTGCAGGTTCGTGAAGATGTTCTGTTGTTATGTTCTGTTATTAAGATGCTAGCATGTTAAAATAAATCAGTATTTTAAAATGCAATATTTAATGTGTCAGACACAAAATAGACACGTCAATTTTTTTTTATTTAATAATGATTATTATGTTAATATCCGATTAACAAGCCACGGTTGTTGGTTAGCAAAATTAACCGAAATGAGCATCCCTACATGTTACAGCCTCTGTGAGCTCATCCAAATTGTTTGCAGCAGCTTCAAAAACACTCCAGTCAGTCAGGGTCGAAACACACATAATGTGCACATTTTAGTAAAGCTACTTCGGAACAATAATATTATTGTGAAAAGCACTATACAAATAAACTTGGATTGATTTTTGCAAAGCTTCTGCAATAGTAGGTGAAAAGCGTGATAGAACATCACTCATTGTCATCTTGATGTCCATGTTGTCATGTTCCGGGATTAACATTCCAGTGTCTTTGATAGGATTTAAATTAATTCACCCTGTTTCAAGGCATCTTAGTCTCTGTTCCCATCATAGGTAATTAATCATTCACTGTATCCAATCAATTATAAATCCCACTCATTTATTCTTTAATCTTCCACAGCAATCTCAATCTACATTAATTTATCTTGAAATGGCTGCTGTGTTTCTCCAATTTTACTGATTGCAGCAAAAAGGTTGTTTGAAACTGATTCAGATGTTTACACTCATCAACAGTTGTCAACAGTAGCTAACTCGGAGAGTAAGAGTAACTCTTAGCATTTTTCTTTTTATTTAGGTAAATGAAGTATCAACCAAAAACTTAATGAAAAGCTTTTGTTGTGGTGAATATTTGTATAATGTAAATGCATGTGCTCTGTCATTTGGTGTGTTAAAATTGGTTGAATTTATTCAGTTTGACAAGTTGACAAACCGAAACTAGCTAAGAACTTGTTCATTACATGGCGTACAGCTCCATTATTTTTCTGCTCTTCTCCAGCTTTTTTCAGATCCTCCAGCTTCTTCACCCATTCCTCTTTCCCCTTTTCCTCCTTCAGTCTGGGAATCAGGAAATCCAGATGCTGAAGAGTGGAAGCGCTGTCTGCTTTTAGTGCAATCTTACACAGACTTATGATGATTGTATAGGTTTCATGAACAAGGATCGACTTCTGTGATTCAATTTTCTCCAGATCCCTGGTCAGACATTCTTCAGTTCTTGATTTATCCTCAGACTCTTTAATGTTACTTTCATGTTCCTTTTTAGTATTTTCAAACACGTTTTTGTCAAAGCTGGTTTTTGGTGGGTCACTGGTGTCTCCATATGCTTTTTTAAGGGCATCAAATGTCATTTCAATTTTTTTAAGCCTGATCTCATATTTTTTATTCTCTTTAACATGTTTGCTGTGATGACACTTCCCTGTACACACAGTGCAGAAGCCTTTTACCATAACTTCACATTTTGAGGGATCATTTGCACACCAGCAACTCCACACATGGCAGTTTTCCTCGCAGACAGAGCAGCAGGTTGCATTGCTGTTCCACCACCATTCATTTTCAATGAGGACTTTTTCTTTGACACCTTTCTCCACTGTAATAACAAAGTTTTCACAGTTTTTGATCTTGTCTCTGTTCTGTCTGAGGGCTTCCTGAATCTGACTTAGTTCTTTCATTGTTTTCTCCTTCTCAGTGATCCTCTCCCTCAAATTATAGACACAAGCATCAAGTCTTGTTCTCTCCTTCAGAACATCTAATGTCATCTGAACACTTTTTCTGTTCTTCTCTTCCAGGATCTTAAAGAACTCATGCATGCTCCTCTCCCCCATTTCCCAGGCTGATCTGTAAGCATGTTTATGATGTTTGTCTCTCTTCTCTTTCTGTCGGTTGTTGAATAAGAAATAAACTGGTTCATTGTCTTCATCTCTTCTGCAGGGTATGTCAGCTTTTTCAATGGCATTGAGAGCATCTGTTGGTGGTAGTCCGTCTGAATGAGTGAGCAGAAACACTATGTTGTTCTCTATATCTTTACCAAACAGAGACAGAACTGAGTGAAATATATAAAGCTCTTCTCCAGTAAGTCGATTCTCAGACGCCTTCATCACAAAACACACTGCATCAATATAGTGAATCCCATCCTCATCTGAAAATAACCTTCTCAGATATTCTGCAATCTCTGCATCTTTCTCGATTCCTTTAGTGTTTCCATAACCTGGAGTGTCGATGATGGTCAGAGATGTTGGCTTTTCTTCAATAAATACCTCATAAACTGTGATCTCAGAGGTCTGGGATATGTGAGCTTTTTCTTTATTTTCTTCTGTGATTTCATACCATATTTCATCCTCAAACTTCACTCCCAGTAAGTGGTTGATCAGGGTGTTGATAAGTGTTGTTTTCCCAGAGCCAGTCTTTCCCACCATCAGTATGATTTTATTCTGCTTGGCATTGTCTTTTTGTCCAAATGTCCATCGTCGAATATTTTTATGATTCTCATCAATGTATGTTCTTTCTGTCCTCAGGCAGTAAAGTGCAGGAGGGCCTGGATTTATTTTGATGGCATCATGGCATAATCTAAAAAAAAAAAATAAAAACAATTAAATCTACCCAATCATTTTTTTTCATTCCAGTAAGGTATTTATTACCATGCAATGTCTACTATATTTCTAAACAGCAAAAATATTTTATAATGAATGTTTTTTTAAGCTGTTAAGCTTTTTTTTATTTAAAGGCGACGTAGTGGTGCAGTCGGTAATGATGTCGCCTCACAGCACAAAGGTGGCTGGTTTGAGCCTCGGCTTGGTCATTTGGCATTTCTTGCTTTAGTTTGCATGTTCTCCCTGCATTCGCGTGGGTTTCCCCCACAGTCCAAACACATGCGGCACAGGTGAATTGGGTAGGCTAAATTGTCCGTAGTGTATGAGTGTGAATGAGTGTGTGTGGATGTTTCCCAGAGATGGGTTGCAGCTGGAAGGGCATCCGCTGTGTAAAAACGTGCTGGATAAGTTGGCGGTTCATTCCGCTGTGGCGACCCAGGATTAATAAAGGGACTAAGCCGACAAGAAAATGAATGAATGAATGAATGAATAAGCTTTTTTAAGTTGTTAATTTTTTCACTCGATTGAAAAGAAAAGTTCATCAAAATTTTTCTCATTATTTACCCTGAAGAGGTTCCAAACTTGAAAACAAAGAAGATATTTTAAGAAAGGTGAAATAGTAGGAAACACAAAAATGACTGGAATAGTGATTGGGCACTACAAGTCCCAGCAGGCTTTGTTCAGTGTCAGGAAGTAGTTTAGTTTGGCTGCTAACTAGCAGACACCCTTTGGGTGGATTCCGATCTGATGGCTCATATCTTTGCCCTAAGGCCTGATTTACACTTCTGTGTTGAGTGATTAGTGTGACCCAAGGTGCATGCCTTGCGCATAGTCATGCACTCATCACCGCTACCAAACCGACCAATTACAGAGACTGTGATGCGTATCATTGCAGCATGTAGTAAACATGCCCAATTAAAAGGTATGCGTCAAGATTGAGATTAGCCCTACTGAACTGAGTGCAGTGTGTGATACCAAACAGCTTCCCTGCTCAAAGGATGATTACCTGAAGTGTCTATCAGTTGTATTTTTGAAACTCCTTTATTCCAAAGGGCGTTGCAAAGTGGCCAGTTTTGATCCCTTTAGTTTGGATTTTTTTCACTTCAATGTGCTCTTGAGAGGGCAAAATATCTCACTTGGAATACACAGAGCATTTCCTGGTTGATGTTCAGTAGGTGATACTTTAATATGGCCAATAACGCCAATAATAAAACCAATAATGACCCATTTCCACCTTACCCTTCATCTCAAAACTTGTAGAAAATATTGTACTTAATCAGTTACAAAGTTTTCTATCTCAGAATGGTATCGCTGAGCCTCTAATAATGGTTCTGAATAACATCTATCTCCTCAATCATGCTGGTAATCATGTGGCCTTAATTTTTCTGGATTTTTCTGCAGCTTTCAATACCATTGACTCCACTCTGGTATTATCTCGGCTACAGTCATGGGTTGGGCTGAGAGGCACAGTGCTAAGATGATTACAGTGCTAAGATGATTAAAAATCTCCGACAGGAAGTTTTTTTTTTTTTTCAAAAAATGGTAACTTTGTCTCTTCTACGGCATCAATAATGTGTGGTCTTCCTCAAGGCTCAATTTTCGCACCTTTACTTTTCTCTCTTTATCCCGTTATTTTCAGGAAATATGGCCTGCACTTTTATCTGTATGCAGACGATACACAAATCTATCTGTCACTCAAAAAAGAAAATAGGCCCTGTGTTGTGATGTCTCTGTCAGGGTCGGCCCAAGCCTTTAGGAAACCCTAAGCAGGATTTTATTTGGTGCCACCTTGGTGCAAACAATGACAAATTATCGTCAATCCTTGATTATTACCACACTTTAAAACACGCATTATCAAGTTTAATGTAGCTGTGTTGCTTACACTAGAAAATATGCTTTTAAGGTCCCAAGAAATGCTTCAAATTTTATTATTGGATGTTTGATGTAATCTTAATTGAAACATGAAGAGAGGGTGGGGCATAGTGTAGCTCATCCCCTTTATAAAAAAGTCAATAGCGTTTTGTTTCCTCACAGCTCTGCCAGTGAGAGTGGTTGAGCTCAAGCACATCAAATGAACAGCCAATGAGAAGTGTCTTGAAGGGGGCGGAGCATGTCAGACACTAGAGAGCATTCGATTGATCAGGGGCCTGTTTCAGAAAGGAGGTTAAGTGAAAACTCAGAGTATTTTAACCCTGAAATGAGAGAAACTCTGGGTTTTCCGTTTCAAAATGGCAGGTTTGTTAAACTCAAGAAATCAGGGTAAGTCAAGCCTGTTTCTGAAAGAAAGGTAACTTTAACTCAGAGTCAGTTACTGTGGTAACTTACTCTGTGAATCTAACCTGGTTCGGAGCAGGTTTTATTCTCTAAACTCTGAGTTTCTGTCTGTCTCCTCCCCTTTTTTAAAGATGAAGCGATATTTCTCGCATTAGCCTTGCGTCTCCACACACCTATTTTAAAGCTCAGTTTGGAGATGTGCATAAAAACGATTGATGGAAACGTCATGATTCACATAACTTTTGAAAATACGCATAATAAATAATGCGCATAACTGAGTAGGTTAAACTTTTATTTGATAAGATGCACATAAACTACGAAGTGCACCTAACAAATTACAGTATATGCATTAAAAAAAGGTTTGTTAGAGATGATGATGAAAATGTGTGTGAATGGACAAACCAGCAGACTAAGCACACTGCAGAACATCTTAAAAGTTGTTTTAGGGCCCACTCACACTAGGCCATCCGTACCGTGCCCAGGCCCTTTTCCCGGATCATTTGAGAAGTGTGAGTGCTCTGAATCGGGCTCAAGCATGGTTCACTTGGCCGGCCCTGGCCCGGTTGGAAGAGGTGTGCCTGAGCCCGGATCACTTGGGCTTTGGCGCGGTACGCTTGTGTGTGAGTGCAAAACGTGCCAAAGCCCGAAACTGAAAGCGAGAAGTGACTTTTAAGGGGTTGTTTCATATGGATTTATTATTCAATCTTACTGTTCAGTGATCGCAAACTGCCGTAGTTTATTAAAGACGAGAACTCCTCACAGCATGACAGCTGCGCACCTTCAGCAGACCTCCTCATTCCTGCAGCACGAGAGCTTTATGATTGTTTATGAGTGCCAAAAGTGGCGGATCTGTCCGGTGAAATATCTGACTGCGTGTCACCGCATCCCTAAGGACTGTTTGGCGAAATATTTGACTGCATGTCACTGCATAACAAACGACTGAAACGATATAACGTTCGAGGAAATCCTCTCCTGAACACATTCCCATAACAATATTGAGTCAGTCCTATCGCCACCTGCTGGCAGAAGGTAGTTTGGCTTATAACTCAGCCACACAATGTCCGATCTGCCTGAAACTTCACATGGTTGATAAAAGTCCTCTCCTGAGCACATCTACATAATAATATTGAGTCTTTAATAGCGCCACCTGCTGGCAGAATGTACTTTGTCTTATAACACAATCTCCACACAATCTCATATCTGCCTGAAACTTCACATGGTTGATAAAAGTCCACTCCTGAACACATCTACATAACAATATTGAGTCAGTCATAATGCCACCTGCTGGCAGAAGGTAGTTTGGCTTATAACTCAGCCACACAATGTGCCATGTGCCTGAAACTTCACATGGTTGATATCATTCCTCTCTGGAAGACATCTACATGCCAATCTT